GCGGAAGTAAAAGTACCCCGAGGGGGGGGGGGAAAGGGAGACGGCTTCTCAACAACTTTAATGTTTCGCGATTCTTCTGGCGCAGGCGGTTCTGAGCCGAGTGGAGATGACGTTCGTGTTCAAGGGTTCCAGTAACGCCAGGGACAAGCTTCACTCGGAAAAAGCTTGAACAGAATTTGGCAGAAATTTCCAAGAGTCGCGTAAAGGGAGAATAGTTCCAAAGAATAGTTCCAACAGATCTCTGAAAGGCGAGGCACATACCACGCTCGTCGTACGAGCAGTCAGGAATATCTCTGTACCCTCCTTACTACCACGCACTGTCTCCATTCTGCTGCGTCAGAAAGGAAAGGTCCACCAATATGCAGGCCGGCTCCACCCACACGACAAACGTGGAATATACCTTCAAGGATGACTGACTGCGGAATGTGGTGACTCGTGGCTTCGCACCTCACTGTTAAGTTGTTTTGAATTGTTTTTCAAACTATTTCTACGCTTTCATATGAAATAGTAAATATGATCAAAGAAGGAACCATAAAAGCTTGAAAACCTTTTTCTCCCTTATCCGACGGTTTCGGCGTAGGCTCGAGAGCTGTTTGCATCGGTGGACTCTGAAGAAAAAAGGAATGAGACATAGGAGTAATAGTAAAAGTAGTAGTCGTCAACCCACCCAAAGAATATGTACCCAGGGACCAATTCAAAATGGTTCACAAAAAATGGAGAAATTGAGTTTAACAAAATCCCGGACAGATCCCGTAACATTTCACTGTTACTATTGGAGCCGACAACAAAGGTTAGGTTTGATGGCACAAATGGAAGATAAGCGATTTTCACGGACACACCGACGGACGAGATTGTCGAGCCTTCTGATCCGTCTGCATCGCTTCAATCATTCGCTCCTCGCTATCCTTGATTTTCTCTGCTTCCTGCACTTGCTGCAGTGCCTTGGCTAGATCCAGGTGATGTCCTGTTGCAGCATATGCCAACTGAAATCTAATCCTCAGTTCTGAAATGTACCAAACCCGAAAAAATACCAAGGAACAACATAATGGTACTGCTTACGGTAAATTTCTCTGAGAGCCATCTGAGAGCGATACGATGGGTACAAGCGCGAGAAGTGGACACAAGCTACTCCATGACTTCGAGAAAAACTGCCACTTTAATACGTCCCCCCAAACAATCTTCTCCTCCATTGTTAGCAAACCACGAGTCCCTTCACTTCCCACCAACCTTACTTCCCTACTACCCCTTTACTCCCATCTCACCCGAGACTGCCGTTGGGAAAATTTCTACAAACTAGGACCTACTCAGAACTTCCTATTCTCGTACAACTCCTTCCCAATCCCCAATCCTTCCCAGAACTTTCCAACTTTCGACAACTTTCTCGGTTTTTTTCCAGAGATCGCACCACCTATCCCCCCTCTTGGAATCGAGGGAGTGGGGATTAGTATACATAGCGCATGTGAAAAGGAAAAACCGGAACCCGAGAAAGCTGAACAACCAAACACATATTCTCAAAGGCAAATACGACCACCTATAGGGAATTCCCAACGTACCACGCCCTGATCCTATCTCCTGTCCTCGTCACTTCGAACTCTTTCTCAGAAAAACTTGACCGGATTTATGTGCGAAACCGGGAACTATAAATATTTCCACTACTTATTTTTACTCAAAAATCCCAAAGCCCTTCCATTATCTCGTCTTTTCCGGACTAGAACTGGCTCAGCGCTGTCGCTGGTCAACTTTCACAGTTCCTGGGGAACAGGCCGGTGCCGCGCCGAACCCCTTGAAACGCCCCAGCGTCTGCAGCGAACAGTACTGTAGGTTCATAGTTTTGGCAATGTGTCTATTTTGGCACATATGGCTGAGCCTGAGGGAACCGCTCCGCCCCCGCCAGTCCCATTTTATCGGACCCGAATCGCGTTAAATCCATTGTTATTCTGAACAAAACTGGAATACGTGGCGCGCTCCACGTAGGCACTGATTACGCCGAAAGCTTTTTTCAAGTGGTTCTCCTTTGAGAATATTCACCTCAATTAGCGATGAGCGGTGACCTACAATACACTGCGATGCCCCACTCTACCGGGGGTTTTCTGTTATTAGGCGCCCTCTTCCCTGCACCTTCCGTTACAAGTAATCAATAATGATAATAAAATCAAATAAAAAGATTGCAGTCTTGAGAAGTTTGAAACTCAAGCTTTGATTCGACCAGCTTGAAAGTTGAAAAGGCACTCGTAAACGGTGGCCTATTGACTGACTGTAGCGCGAACCATAGGCGAAACAATAAGAGGTGCAAAAGGGAAAACGTATTCCATTGAATGATCACCACTACAAACCAACACACCCTCAAAGCCAAGGAAAGCGCCAGTTATGCTCTCACATTGAACAGAGTGAGTTTATCGTAGGAAAAAAGGAAGGTACCTGTCCCGGATCAAGTTTATCAAAGTTCGTCGCTCCAGGTTGTCACCTCTCTGGCCACGACACACTCTCTCAGCTGGCTTGCCAACTCATCCGTTGCTCGGATGCGTAGCTCGAACACATAATAGTAGTCGCCAGCTCTTTTTGCTGAAAAGTCGAAGATATTAGATTTCCTAGGAATGAACAAGAGCCATAAAAACCGAGTTATTCGTGCTTGTTAGTCCTGAAACATATAGTAGAATGTTGGTAGCAAACCAAAATCAGCTGAAACTTATACGAGCACGTGAAGGGGTAATGTTTTTGTGGACTAGGCTATCCATCAAGGGATTTATGCGTTTCATAAAACTCGGGAAATAGCTGTGTAGGTAGGAATGCGACAGGAAGGCAACAGACTGATCACGCCATCTTCCCCAATGCGCACTTCAAAGTTACTACAAGGTGTTCTACTCTTGTAAGGAGTCATGTCAGAACTTTGGATCCTTCCTGGGCCTCTGTGATGTTGATATTTGGGAGCCAAAACAAGATGTGACCTCCCCCCACTAGGAATCCCCGAAGTACAATGCGCCCCGGCTACAGTTGACCAGTGGGGCTTTTGTGGCCCAGGTGCCCGGCGAACGACATACCTACCATTTCCCTGAATGTAGCCGACTTCCTACCACTTTTACGAAATTCCTTCCTCCTTTTCGTCTTCCACCCCTGTGTTACATACCCACCAAAGGGAGTGGTGGGTATGTAACACAACTGATAACAATCGTAACACAACCGAGAAAAGTAAACAACCGAAAACATTCTTCCAAGGGGCATTATGACCCCTGCTCCTCCCTCCAGCGACCAAATACGACCCTTCCCCGCTGGGGAACCTCAACGTACCACCTGTCATCTTCGGATTAATGCTAACAACAGTCGGGGAACAAATTATTGCGGTTTTTGATGGCGCGATTCCCAAGAAGAGCGCTTCTATAATCCATACCGTAAGGTATGACAATTGTATTACTTTTTGCCAACGCAGTATCATAAGCAGACGTGACATGCAATTACATTTTTCATTATTGCGAAACCAAATCGGTAGGAAAAGGAGGATAGATAGAAGAAGTGGAAATAAAGTGAACAATGTGTGCGGGGGATGAACGCTGATGCCACAAAAATAGCTGGAAGCTCGGAGATGCAAACAGAGGACATCGAACCGGGTGGCGTCATCGCGTAGTAGCGGAAAAACTCTTCCTCATCTTCTTCGTGGTCTTCACCGTGGTCAACTGACACATGAATTACTATGCACTTCTGCTATCAAATCGTTAACAAACACCACCTCAAAAAGCGCAAGTCTTACCTGAATCGCAATGGGTACATAAGACACACTATGGTACTACACTCTAGTTCGCTACGGACGGTTGGGCGTGTCAGGCAGTATGAGTGTGTCACGCCGTCAAAGCCGTTCTCTGCCTTCTTGTTGAAGCGCGCATGCGACAAAAAGTGGTAGAAAACGAGTAATACGAACGATATGATACAGTCATATCATTTGCTCGCTTTAACAACTGGTGGAGAACGGGTTTGGCACCGCGCCAAACTCATCCCGCCTGACACGCCCAACCGTTCCGCAGCGAACTACACTATAATTAGAGGCAGGGGGGCGCGATTGCTGAAGTCGAACAGTTGTTGCTCGCGTCATTGGTGGGAGGGCGTGGGAGGACGTTTAGCCATAATCCACTCAGCCCTTCCACCTATGACGCTTGCAACAACCGCCTGCCCCCAGCCATCGTGCCCACTGCCTTCGAATGGCACTCATGTCACTGCGGACTCAAACAGCGGTTGCTTAGTAGAGTGAAGTGCGAAGAATTCAGTGGAACCACTATGTTACGAAAGGAAAACTAAGTGAAAGTACAGGAGCAGGGTGTACCCTTCCCTGAGCCTCGAATGGGAGAGATCGATGGCCGAGCATCTTTCCTCCACAGTCTCGAAGAGAAGAGAGTACACCACCGCAACCATACCACCCATTCTTAGTATTCAAAGGCACATTCTACGATAGTCGAATGGTAGAGAGGCTCAGACATAGTGCCCACCTCATTAAAACATCGCTCCTTTCCAG